ATGAAGCATCTAATTGGATTATTACTAAATTTGGCTGCCATAACAGTAAGTGCAGCGCACCCACATAACTCACCATTGCATTTCATATACACTAGTGTCAACTATTGTATATATACAATTATATACATATACACACATGCAGTAAAAATAGCAAAATACTTGCAAACAAACCCCATTTGAGTTTTTACGTCTGTGACGTTTCATGGACATGCCGTTGACACGCATTCATCAGCAGCCACAGCAGCAAATTCGACATTGTTTTCTTTGACACCTGTCCACTTTGTTAATGCAATTTTAAACGTGGTTGCGTGTGAAGACCCGTTACATATGTATAAAGTCTGTTTTCAAGCGAATGAATTGCCGTAAATTTATTTTGATTCCTTATTTGCGCGTAAATTTTGTTGTTTGTGTACTCTATAGTAAATTCAATTTATTTTACTTATATACATTTGTTTTATATTTGTTGTGTGAAAATTCCTACATCGCAGTTAATTCATATTCGCGCTTGATAAAAATATGCCACGCAGAAAATGGCAAAGCTTTAAATACCGTTATTTATAAATTTTACGTCAAACGTCATTCAAATTTACCATTCCGCTGCGAGCTTGGTTGGGAATGTTCGAACATGGCTTTGGGGCGAAAAAGTGAATTGTTGACACTGGTATGGTTTAGCTCGCTTGTTGGGCTATTTGAGCAAATTCAGTAAGTTTGTTATCTTAATTTAAATAAGAATAATTTTCGTTTCTATTTAGCGCAACCCTGATGCCATAACCTGAATTCGCATGATTCTTTTAAATTCTCCGACAGTTAAACGGCAAGCTAACTAGCTAGCCAGCGTAAGTGAACTGTAAATAATCGAATTATGAATTACCAGATGACAACTTAAGTAATTGCATTACAAAATATTTAGAATTTAAATTCTCTCTATCTTGGAAATATGAAAATCGAATAGAAATTTCAGCAAATTATTAATGCATTATAAAATTTCACTCCTTTGTTAATTGAAAAGTATCAAATATATGGAAATAGAATGTGGCATACTTTGTTGTGAGATTATTAAAGAGAGTGAAGAGTAAAGATTGACTATGGTATAACCGCAAATAAAATATTAATAAGTCAACTATGATACTAAGACTTTATATATATTATATGTATGTCCATTCGAATAAACATATACATACATATGTATATGTACATACAATAAACAGAATAACGTCCAGGTTGAATTTGTTCAATTTTGCATTATTATAATACATTAGGATTATTATCATTTATTTATGTTGCATCGATTGACTCATCAGTTCTTAGAACGCTGTTTAGAACTTCTTACTTTATTACAATAGATTTAGCTTTCTCTCTCTTTTCTCAATATATCTCTCTTATTTTTCTATCCCTTCTTCTTCTATCTTTCTTTCTCCCTTTCTCTCTCACTTTGACTAGCAAATACCTAAACAGTACATACCTATTTCGAGTTTTTAAAATATGACTCATAAATGCTTAATTAGAGTCGCACGAGTTCGTTTGGCTGATGTAACCTCGAAATTCTGCACCCACAATCACTGATTTGTTATGATCTTTAACTTGTGTGTTGCAGTGGTTCCCTTTTACACCAAAATTAATTCTACTCTGTGTGATGAACTATATGTATGTGTATTTAAGTATTTTCAAGGTTCCAACTCTTTAAGAGTATCTATGCTTTGTTAAACTCCGATATCGAGCCTTATGTTGTGGCTTCGATAATGATGCACTACTAGCACAGAACTAGAGGGCTCTTAAGGAATCATTCGTGCCATTTCAATTCTGGCTTTTTCTTGACACAGTTGGCTTATTAAGAATTGGAGAAATATGCTGATGGGATTTCGTAAATTTCAAAAATAAATAAAAATGTTACCACAATTATTTCGTAATTGTCTTCGTAATTGTTTTTAAATAAAATTATACCAAATTTAATTATTGAAAATGTAAATGGATAGTTTAAGTCCCCAACTAAGGCGGCCTCACAATGAAAATTTTTAAATCGTCTTATTTTACGCGAAGATTACAAATCGTGAGCGAAAGTGTTTATTTTCAATAATTTATGTACTTATATATTTACAAATATATTTGACGCATTTACACTATATGTTATCAAGTTTTGTGTTGAGCAGCAAAATCTGCAGAATTCAGATCACTTAGCTGTAATTACCAGTTCAGCGAGTTAAACATTTCTTGTGAAAAATACTGAAGAAATGTAACAGTCACAATTTTTGCGCCCGCGATCTGATGGTATGAACGAATATCGGAGATCGTCGAACTCCTTTCCGCACTGGTGGCCTTCTTTTGTTTGAGTAAATATCAGTTGACTCATCAGCATCAATAGTTTCCGAACAACAACAGATTTTGAACGACCTTCAGAAAATTCGTCTTGAGTGATCTACGACCTTGATTGAATTCATCATCGATAAAATTGAACTAAGTTCTTTGAGTATTCTTGCTGAGTTTATCCACGTTGAAAGTTGTTAAATATAATCGCTTAAAAATATTCGCGTTTAATTGCTTTTTGGCCGAGATGATTATTTTAAGTTACTGTAAAACAAACAAATGGCGCTCGTATGTCAAAACGTGCTGAGCATGTATACAACAAAACGTCAAACTTTACGATAAAGTTGTGAGTTGTCAGATTATAACACGGGTTGCCACATCGCGAAATTTAAAAGGCATCCTACGTAATACATATAACGCTGTGATGAAAATAACGCTGAATATTTGAATTCGTTAATGTCAAACAAATCTATTCACTTTCACAGCTATTTACTTTGACAGCTATTCACTTTGACAGCTATCCCTCTTGAAATGGTATACCTCAAGACACGCCCTATATTTTAATACTTATATTCAAAAGCATATATCTATACGACTTTATTGCCGTTGGGAAAATGTCGTACACTCCTCCGTTTATTTCTAAGTAGTGAGGCTATCTAATATTTCATTCTAATATGTGTGGATGTGTGGATCTGAACAATTACCTAAAAATGTCGCTAACGAATTTGTTGTGGCAAGCGATATTTAGAAATAAATTTTGTTTGTATTTTTGTATTTGCTACTAGATTCTCTCGGATGCACATGTAAATATGCATATGTGTGTTGTAGTTAGTTGTCGGTTACATGGTCGGTGACTGCAACTGATTTGCCTGTTACTGTAGTTGGTTTTGTAAATCTAATGTAATCGAATATACTATTACTACTACAATAGCAATCGACTAAAGCTGATACAACATGCACATGGCAACGTGGTGACAATAACAACACCAACAACAACAGCAACAACATATAAACTTATAGCAAATGCATCGATAAAGTAAACGTGCGAGTATACTTAGATTTATATGTATTTGTTAGTATTTTGTTGTCACATACATACATACATACATATACATATGTGGTATGTGTGTGCTTGTGTATGTCCGCTGTCGCTTTAGCTGTGGCGTTAGAGCTCTTGGCCGCAGCAACATTGGCAATTTTGTTAACAAAATCAACGAACGACTGCAACTGAGCAAAACAAGTGTAAGCAACAACAGCAACAATAGCAATAGCAATAAGAATAATAACAGCACCAACAAGTTTTGTAACATATTCGCTTGTTAGTTGTGAGTGTATGCTAGTTGTTACTGTAACACTTACACTTACTGATTGTTGCAGTTGTTGTAAACATTGCTGTCGACTTGTTAAGCAACAACTGTGCGGCTGAACAACCGACAGCTGGCAACTAACAAACAAGCAGCACCATATTATCATCGATTTGTTGATGAAACTATTTTAATTTGAACCACACACGTTACAGCTATATATGCTGATGTGTATATGTACATGTGTGCGTTACCTTATAAGAAATGCCGTTGGACGTGCTAGTGTCCGTTGTAAGCGCCATTTATTTAATTCTGTTGTGGTAAAATATGCGCCGGTCGAAGAGAAAACATTAGGTTTGGCCTCAAGTTTATTGTTCAGAATTTCGAAAATTTTTTATATATTTTAATCACTCATAATTTTCAAAACCTATTTATTATGAATGTATATTGTTTACATAAGAGCCTATAGCGTTAAATCATTTCCTAGAGGGATAGCTGTCAACTAGCTGTCAAAGTAAATACATATGTATATGTGTATGTTCAGTATACTTTGAGAAATTACCATGAAAATATTTGCAACAGAAAATTGTTTAAATATCTTGGTAATTTATTTCCAAAACTCACATTCGGGTGTCATAATTAAATTTTCAAATTATTTCCTTCAAATTATTTCAGCGATGAAACATACATACATATGTATAGCTGAATTTTCGTGTATATAAATATTAGAGCAGGCTGATTAACAGTGAAAAAAATCGCATATGTGGGAAATAATATACGGATCATTCTAAACAACTTTGTATAAGAGAATAGAGAGAGACCATAGAGAGAGTCCATACTTTCTTAGGATTTGCGTTTTTTGGGTCTCCACGTCAGTATTAATCGCCTATGTGCTAAATGGTACAATTAAGTCTTTCGAAACATTTAGTTTACAGAATCCCATCAAGAAAGAAGCTAGCCAATTGGTCAGCAAGGTCATGCGATTTGACTGCTCGATTTTTTGTGGGTTTACATATGTACATATGTCAAATAAATGAATGCTCTACAAAGTATATGCTAATAAATCTAAAATATTGTCGATTTTTGTAATTTTTCTGTGCTCTATTTGTAAAAAAAAGCCTATATATCAATAAAAACACCCTATATAATTATATTACTTTAAAAAACCGCGCTTGGTCAGGATAAGTTTGCTAAAAAATACATTTCCCGAATTTTTTTAATGGCTGCACTTATGCCTGTCTATTTTATCCAAATTAAGATCTATGACTCTACATTTTTTTTTTTTAATAATTCTTAAACAACATTTTTAGCAGCAATTTTCGGGCCATTCTATATGCTGTGAAAAATTCAAATTTTTCCGAGTGTAACCAACTACAATTATGGACGTGTGTAGAGTTGCGTTTCGTCATTTAATTGGGCTACACGATCTTTAAGCGCAATTAAACGATTGGCATCGAAAAGTATGGCACGACTTAGGTCGAGATAATTATCACTGGATTTGAAATGTTGTAATTGGTCCATCGACAATATTACGGAGATTTTAATCTTATTCAACTCCTGCTGCCGTTTTCGCTGAGGAATGAGATTTAAATACAAAAACCTATTAGGATAACTGAAGAAAAAACTATCGCTCACTCTGTTTCTATCTCCCTCCTCTATCTCTTTATCTCTCTCTCATCCTCGCTCTCACTGTTTTTTTCTAGCTCACGCTCTTTTCTCCTCTTTTTCTCTCCTCCTCTCTTTCTTTCCCACTCCTCCTTCACTTTCTTACCAATTCCGCTTTCGTCTTTCTCTGTTTTTCACTATCTCTTTCTCTCTCGCAAACGACTCCTTCTTCTCCCTCTTTTCCATCCCCCTTTTCTCTCTTTAATGCTCCCTTTCCAACTCCCCTATCTTCGCTATTTCTCACTTTCCTTTCTCTCTCTCGAAAACTACTCAAAGCACTTAGCGTGTCAGTTCATAAAATACCATACTCACCCGAAACACCAGCAAAGTTTCCTTCTCTTGCGCATAGACCTCTTCGTGGTATTTCATTTTCTTATGCAGCTCAGCTACATCCGCGCGTCGCTGATCAATACCCTTCTGTGTCTCCATCATTACCTTTTCTAGAGCATGTCGCTCCGAGCGTAGCTGAAAAGCCAAATCGTATGTGCTGCGTTCAAGTCCAGAAGGGCAATGACTTTCGTCCAGCCGAATCGTCGTCATATCGGTTGAATCGATACTTTTAGCATCGGCGTCCTCGTCCTCACTGGACGATTCTGCGCTCGACGAAGACTCAGATGATTCTAAATAGAGGTAGAAGTTATTAGCATCATTCAAGTCCATTTGGCTTCTTGTACCGAACTATTAGAGATACGATATTATTGTCTAATTACCATCGTCGGCCTTCGGTGGTTTCGGTGGTCGCCATCGCTTCTTAAATATACGCCGCAAGAAATCGAAAAACTTATGGCCCTTGCAAGTGCTCATGAATTTCTGCTGGACCGACAATATTTGTTCGTTCAGTTTATCGGCAATCTTTTTGAAGTCTTCAATTTGGCGATTTTTCGTATTTATTACCGCTTGCATTTCATTGCGCGTCTTCATTGCTTCATCGGCATTGAACAGCAATTGATTCTCAATCTCTTCGCTGTCACGCAAAATATTCAATTCTTGATTTAATGTTATCATGTAGCAGTGCATAAACTCAGACTCGTAGAAACATTTACAACGTAACGCAATCATTTCAAGCAGATCCTTATCGAAGTCCTTAACACGATTCTTTACCTTCAACACCAAACCGCTTTGCTCATCTCTCAAATCGATTAGCCATTGGTAGCGCACAACAGATACCCATGGCGCAAAACCCTCCTCGTTACGCTCGAAGAATTCCGGCTCTGTGAAACCGGGATAACTGTCAATTTCGCTTAATATATCCTTTATGTCGGGCAACTCGTCCACTTCGAATGCATGCAAAGACTTGTACAATGACTGTTCGATCTTATCGCGTACCGAAAGTTTCACCTCCTTAGCTGTAGTCTTCGGTTGTGGTAAGAGGTCATCAACTTTTTTCTCCACATATAGTATATCCTTAATGTCAATGCCACAGCCAGGTTTACAATGCTCGTCAAGATTACGCTCCGGATACTCTTCCTTCATATTGATTTCTCTGATGGGTATCAAATATTCGCGATTTGCTAACGGTAAAAATGCATGTAAACGTTTCAAACGCTTGCGCGATTCTTCTATATACTCATACAAGTACCATTTACGTTTGCGCAATTGGAATAGTTCTCTATTAAAGTGATCCAAAGTTAGGTAATGCGCCTGTCTGGCATTCACCAATTCAATATATTTATAAGTTAGCGATTCGTTAGTACGCGGCTCATAGTCGAAACCAATTTTAAGCTTGTAGTCACCCAAATTTCTTTCAGCGTCGGCGATTTTTCGTTCATCTTCTGGATGATTTTTCTTCGGATCGGGTTTACAAAGTTCCATTTGCTCCCAAGTATAAATGCGCTCGACTTCATATATTTGACGAGAGCGATAACGTCGCAACAAGCGCAACATTTTCTTACTGAAGCGTGGTATTATCGTGTTGGGATCACGACCAAAGAAGAAATTTTCTACACCTGGCTCTGGCATGCTGGGTTCCTTCTCTTCCGCAACAATGGGTGCGATGGATCTGCGAATTGTCGGAAATGAAATGTAATTTTGGGAAGCAACCGTCTCAGAGGTCGGTAGTGTATTAGTTGTATTAGGAGTGCTGATTGGCTCAAGTAAAAAGTGTTAAGAAATATTAAGTTTTTGAACGGTAAATTAACCGAAAATTCTTGCAGCAGTCGAGGTTCAAGTGAACCACAGTGAAAGCTGTACCAGATATGAGGAGGCATGAAAAGAGTTCTCTAGCAAAACTAGCCCTAAAGCCGAGAGTTAGGCTTAGCTCTAAAAAAAAGAAGCGTGCTTATTACAGATAAAAGCTATATGGTGCAAAAATGTTTCAAAAACACAATAAAAATTACGCTTACTCAGTTTGTGTTGGAACTTTCGTTTCTTCCGCGCTTGGTGAGCATTAATTTTTAAAAATTATCAAATATTTGTTTATGAGTAGTAAACATTTTCATAGAGTGTAAAAGCATAAACTTCCCAAATAATCAAACTAAACTTACCTGCGCTTGGCCGCCTCGGCTCTTAAACGTTCCTCGATCTCGTCTTTGATTTTTTGGAATGCTTCACCGAGTTTTTCCACACGAAATGAAGACACTTTTATATCTTTGCTAAAATCAAATATCAGTAGTCAAATATAATAGCTAAAGACACCAAATTACCAGCCATGCGCTTACCTAATGCCACTCACAGTGATCGGCACATGATCCAAGTTCTTTAGAAAGTGATCGTACAATTTATTCTTGCCCACCTCTGCCACCTCGAGATCGTATGCCAGATCGTCGCGTACATCATCCAATTCTGCCTGCAGTTCATCCCGAATTTGCTTGGTAATGCGTTCGTCGAGCAAAAGATTTTTATGCGGCAATATCAGTTCCTCTTCTAGTGTCGACATATCGTCTTTAATATCATTAAATTTCACTTGTAATTCACCGATTTGTGCCAGCACTTTACGATCATGTGCGAGAGCTGCTTCCTCTTTGCGTTTGATCTCGGCATAGATTTTCTCTTGCTCCAATGATGGAAATTCAGGATCGTCTATATCATCGGCGCGTAAATCTTTAAGGTTAGCATAAGCAACCACTTCCAAGGGACCACCATGCGCCACTTTCGGTCCATGCCAATTATAGCAGAATATATTACCATCGTGACCAACAGTGAATAAGTAGTTTCCATCATAACTAGGTAATATGCGCGTTATAATCCCGTTATGGGAATCATGCATCGGAAACAGACGATAATCTCGCAAATCGGTAAAATCATTGGACAGCGTACGGTTTATGCGCAATTTTCCATTCACTAAACCGAATATCAAGTAGTCCTCACTGGAAGTAAACGGTTATAAGGTTGAATGCAAAAATCAGGAAGCCACGTGGCGTTAAGGTGGATTCTTAAAAAATAGTATCGAATATTTATCATGCAAAGAAGAATTGTATGCAATAATAATGTCTGCAGTAGTTTGGGACCTGCGGATCGCAGTTGAAGTAGCTTTGAACATGTGAGGTATCTTTATTCCAGAACCCCTCAAGAGATCTGCGTACTTTTAGTAAAACTTTTGACTTAAACCGTTAATTAAATAACCTCAAAATCATCCCTAAGAAATATATAACCTAAATATCAGCCAAACCAGTTGATACAAATAAAAGCTGCCAATTTGTTCTTTTAAGATAAAAATTCTCTTTAAGACCCCTACAACTTACATGGTCAAGTAAGAGTGTATTTCGCAATCATCACCGTCCGTAATCACAGTGCACTTATAGGGCTCCGCATAGCCAAAAATCAGCTCATAAATGTAACCAGCATCGTAGCCGCCCATCGACACCCAAATGGTGCTGTCACGTGTATATCGCAGCCAAATCACTGGATTCGGCACAACTGGTATGTGTAAAGGTTCTTCCTCTTCATCGGGTTCCGAATCGGCTGCGCAAATAAGCGAAAAGAAATGAAGCAGCAATAGTAAAGATGAGCTGATATGGGTACTGCATAGTTAGCTACTCACCCAAGGCGGTCTCCAGATCAATTTGCAAACCTGGATTGGCGGCCTTCAATTTATCAATTTCCACTAATTTCCGTTGACGTTTCTTCTCTTTACGCTTCTTTATCTTTTCGCGCTTTTGATCTCTCCTTATACGGCTCTTCACAGACACAAAGCGTGTGGACTTCAATTTTTGCACATCGGTGATGTTGTAGGTGAGAAAAGTTTGTTCGTCTGTGACGCGACCGGGAATTTGATACTCGTACACCTCACCCGTTTTGCAACCCATCAAAACTGTCGAGAACTGTAGAGATATATGTATATGAAAGAGAAAATTGTGTACGCTTATAATTAAAAGTACTCAAATACTAGCGCAACAACCACTTTTCGCCCACCTCATCGTTCTTCCAATTGAAGCAATTCACCACAGCGTCGAGCACCACAAAACCCATCGGTTTCAAATTTACCATATTATTTTCTTTATCCTTAATATTATAGACAAATATGGATTTGTCAGCGGAGGACACCACCAGACATGTGTGCCGTGGATTAATGGCCAACTTGGTTATCGGACCAATGTGTGCCTTAATCGCACGCACCAAATGCAGTTCTATCTGTTTTTCATTACGCATATCCAACACCAGCTGCCGCAGTATGCCATCCTTGAAGCCGGCAACCAAATCCAAACCGGTGCTGGAGACTTTCGTAGAGAACCAAATAAAATCACTACCCGGTGAAATGAACTTCTTCTCCAACACCAAAGTGTTCGTTATATAATTGAAGAGAAACATTTTTCCATCCTCACCCATGGTCATGAGATGTGTTGAGACGGGACTCGCTTGTGCCGCTATGACTTTACCGCCATGACAGTTGTAAAGCTTTTTCGGCGTTTTGGGCACATCGTAGGTGTTTAGGTCGCAGAACCAAATGCCGCCGTTGCCGTCCTGTGGAAAAACATACTATATTTCTTAAAACTGCCGAGACCTAGTATATATATATAAACGAGTATTTTGAATGAGTCAAAGAACCCAAATCTCAATAATACCGCTTTATTCTCACTCAAAAGAGTTACTTCAACTAGGTTGCTGCGAAGAATGCAAAGGTTCTCTTTCAAAATCTAGCCTTTATTCGATTTTTTACTAGGCTAAAGAAAATCAGAACCGAAAGTGGTTGAAAGAACGGTTTAAAAGAAAAGATAATATCAACAAGACTTTTGAGTTATTCTTTTCAGGTTAACACGTTTTTGGTCGGTCGTTGTCTTGCCCGGTTGGCCATAACCCACACACGATGGGAGGATGTCGAGGGAATCAAATCGCTCTCAAATATGAACGAAGATCTCAGTGAGACCAGAGTGACTGCAACAGAGTTTGATACAAGAAAATTATTAAACTCCCACTTATACAAGACACGAGACTTTGACGTAATCGCTATGCGGAGCAATGACGTTATAGCAAGGATATTGCCTTTGTGAGATCCAGCTGAAGAAATTCTCTAATATTCTCTTATATTAGACTCGTATCGTTCAGAACGTTCATTTGCTGCTCCGACCATGATGCCGATAATATTTCTGATAACCCATATCAATATTATTTCATATACCCCAAACTCACCTGCGCATAATAGCTAAAATCTTTTTTATCGAAAGGTTTAATCTTCTGCAGGCCACGTATTTCACAGTCCCCAACTTTGAATTCATAAATCGGTTCAATCTCCACAAAACGATCATCATCCGGCGGATCAGCCAAATCGACGGTTTCCCAATACCAAATGCGCACATAACCATCCATACCGACAGTCGTCACCTCACCCTCATCCATGGTGATGCGCGTAATCGGTTTAGTATGACACGGTTTGCGTCCCTTACGCGTGATTTCGAACTTAATCAAACCGGCTTCCCACAGCAGTATATTACCCCACTCACAACCGGAGATTACATTCTCGTCGGATAGCATATAAATTGCACAAATATCACTGAAGTCCGTCTTGCCGAAACGACCCAATTCTCCCTTTAACTTCAGCCCAGTGAAAGTGTTAGCCATCTTCCAGAATTTAATATGACTAAGACCGCAGGATGCCAGCAGTATGGGATTGAAGTGTGAAAAGTGTACATGTAATATATTATTTTGAAATGATTTGGAGCGTAAGACCACCTCGCCGGTTTGCCAGCGCCAAATCGTGAGCATAAAATCGGGATAGCCGGCTTGTGAAGCGAAGAGCTCACCGGTCGAATTGTACGAACCGCAGGTAAAGCAAGACTTGGCCGCATTCTCCAACTTGATGCGCAACGCATGCGAGGGATATTCGTATATGAAGATGGTCGGCCGTACACCATTCTCGGCAACGGTAAAGAGATCGATGAAGTCGGGATGTTCGTTGCGCTGCAAGTTTAATTTTTCAGTTAAAGGCTCGCAATTATTTGTAATGTGTGTTGTCAACGTACCGTTATAAAACCAATGCCACCGCCGAAAACGGTCTTGCGAAATGTTACCGTACGCGTAGGTATATCAAAGTAATGCAAATAATCGCCGGACGCGAAAATCAGCGTATTTTCACCGAGCAGCACCAGATTGAAAAAACGCTTGCAGTCGTAACCGAATGAATGACTGTTTTCGAAATTTTTTTATTTATTTATACACATATTTACAATATTTCGTTGGCAACTTACCTCAAATCGATGATGTGCTCGCCAAATGTTGGCTCTTCCCTTTGCACTACCTCAGCTTCCGTTTCCTCCTCGTTTTCCTCTTGTTCGGACATATTGGTTTTTTATATTTTTTCACTTTTTTCGCAGCTTAAATTATTTTCAGTTACGTTTCTTGTACAAAATATTTTCTTATGCTTTTTTTTTTTACTCAAAATATATTTGTGGCAATACGGGAATGTTTGCGGCAGAGAAATGATATATGAAACTCCGAACTGGTTCTGAAGGCACAGAAAAAGTTTGTTTCTGCGTTGCCAAGCATTTGTTGACGCGTATATTTCAAATTACAACTGTTAAGTGCTTGAATAAATTATTTTTTCGGATTTACAGTAAATGCATCAATTAGAAATTAAATTACTTAGAAGTATAAGCTTCTAATTTTGAATTCGAGCATCTACAAAAATAAAGTTATTGTATTACGCGCCGAAAGCTTGCACGGCTGATATAAGTTTGTATGAGTGTGTGTGGGAATTCACTGGCCAAACGTAAATTTATTAATATTTCTAGGCAGTCGACTTTTAAAATAAGCAGTTTTTGAGAAACTGTTTGATGAAATTTTTAGATAATTTTATAATCCGAACAGGGTATATCAAGTTTGACGCGAAGTTTGTAACATCCAGAAGGAAACGTTCAAGACCTTATAATATAGCTTATATAATATAATATGGTATAGGTATAAATAATCGATCTGAAATTTTGCAGACGTTCTTTTCTTTTTCACTTGGAAATGGCATCTCTACAACCTCCGTAGAAATTGTTCAGATCGGAACACTAAAGCTCATAGCTGACATACAAACTGAGCGTTCAAAAATAAGTTCTTGTACGGAAACTTTTTTATTTGATAAGATATCTTCACGAAATTTGGCATGGTTTATAATTCAAGTGAACGGTAGAACCTCCGAGCAAATTGTTAAGATCGGACCACTATACCATATAGCTGCCATACAAACTGAGCGTTCAAAAATAAGTTCTTGTATGGAAACTTTTTTGTGTCTTTGTTTGTTGTTGCTGTAACCATAACGGCATACCACCAGTTTGAGTACCAGAAGACGAAGCGAAATTACTCTTAAGTAACGGAATTTTTTACGAGCTTGAGGACGGACATTGGATTTAGTTGTTATTATTGTAGTATATAGAAAAAATATTGATACAACTACAGCAATTAATATATAAATAAAATAATAATAAATTAATAAAATAATAATAAATAAATAAAATAATAATAAATTAAAAAAATAATAATAAATAAATAATTCTTAAAATCAATATTACAAATTATAATTTACTAACTGAATAACAAATAAAAATAGAATTAATCTTATTTAAATAGCATCTAAAAATTTATAAATAAAGGTTTAAAATAAAATAAAAGTTTAAAAATAAAATTAAAGTAAAAAAAATTAAATTAAAAAAATTCTAAACAAAAAAATTTTTTTTAATTTGGAATAAACAAAAAAAAAAAATTAAAAAACAGATAAATGAAAAAAAAAATATTAAAAAAAAAAACAAAAAAAAATATTAAAAAAAAAAAATTTTAATTTTAATTTAAAAAAATTTTGTTTTTAAATTTAAAAAAAAATCGTTAAACAAAAAGAATAATACGAAATAATTGAACAAGTTAAAAAATAATAAATTTTTTTGCTTATTTACAGAAAAAATTCATTGTTTATAATTATTAAATGGTACAAACTTTGTAAATTTATTAGTGGCACAAGCTAGCGTATAATAGTAAAAAATAATATAGCCAACTATAACAATTCACAGACTCATGCGCTGCTTATTACTTCACAAACATTGCTTTAGACACTTGAAAAAAAAAAAAACTCCAACAAAAATCAAAACAACAGATCCTTGAACGCATCGTCATCGTCATCCATAAATAATTCATCGATATTCTCCAATTCTCGGTTCAAGTCTAACTTTTTCACGGCATCGAGCGCAGAACTAGCGGCTGGTTGTGGTTCAATGTCAACAGCGTTAGGCTCCGCGCTTGATTTAAATGAGTCATTCTTTTTGATTGGCGAAAAGTAGCTTTCGATTTTATGTGACTAAAATAAAAAAAAATTATAATGAAATATTTTATATACAAAAACAGTGTAATCACCCCGGTAGGTGCTGCGGTGTGCGTGGCATCCTGCAAGTTTTCACAGAACAGACCTGCACGGTTCAAAACATCCTGCTTGCTTTTCAACATATTCCATATGACATCATCGGCTGTTTTAGGTGCCATTAAGTAACGGCATATGATCGCTTTATTTTGGCCGATGCGATGTGCGCGACTCTCCGCCTGCGCCAAGGTCTACAGTATAATAAAACAATACAAATTTAATATTAACTTTTCTATGTGTGTTTGTTTAGCATACACTTGGATTCCAGTCCAATTCGGCGAACACAATCATCTCTGCAGCCGTTAGCGTGATGCCTGCATTACAAGCGCGCAATGAGAGCACAGCAACTTGGCACGACGATTTTGTTTGAAATTTGTCAATATATTCCTTCAGAACAACAATTTTTTTAAAGGAATAAATTTAATATTTTTGGTAATATTTTAACGGTAACTTACCCCTCGCGCCTCATTCTTGGTAGAGCCATCAATGCGTACAAAATTCACATTTAATCTGCACAAGCAATCGGTTATGGCGTCCATCATGATGCGATGATGTGCAAAGACAATGAATTTTATTTTGTCTTTCACCAAGTTTTTTAGGTAAGCGCTAGAAGTGCACAAGCGAAAATTTTTGTTAACCATTTTTACATGTTTCTATGTGTTAATTACCACACAGCACGCGCTTTAACCTCAGCTGTCGTTGAATAGAATCTTAGAAGTATATCTTCGCGTTCGCGTCCCTTGCTTGTGGAGAAATCTCTGCTAAGCGTTTCTAGGTTTTGCTTCGTGTCAGTATTGGTCGACAAAAGTGCTGGGTCTAGCACAACGGTTTCGCTACATAATCGAAATAGCAAATTAAAATCAAATATCATATTAAATATTAATTACATTTTTCTATTTTCACATTGACTACCGATTCTTTTCCGCCAATTGTGGCAGTACAGCCTCCTTAGTGCGTCTTATCATAAATTTTTCTTTTAGCACAACATTTAGCTCTTCCAGATTCGACTGACCAGTCGCATCCCAGCCAAAATTCGTTTGCTTGCCATCACAGTAACGAGTAGCTATATATGAAGAGCACATATACAATTAGCAAAATTTCTAATTTCTACAAGACACACTTTACGTACTATATTCTCTAAATGTCATAAATTTACGATCGATGAGATGAATTTGTGTGAATAATTCTAAAGGCCGCGATAGTGCTGGTGTGCCAGACAGCAATATTACATGTCGTGCATTTTGTGTTAAGCGTTCCGCAACCATTGCGCATTTTGTTTTGGCATTTTTTAAAGTATGAGATTCATCGAATATTACAAAACCAAATTTATGCTCCAATAACCTATCAACATGCCTATCCATCATATTATAACTGGTGATAAGAACTTTGGCATCATGGAAATATTGCTGATTACTTAGCAGCGTTTGTATGTAGTGGACAGGTATGCTGGGTAGCAGATCGCGTACGTGATTGATCCAGGACTCACTACGAGAGGAAAATTTATAATGTGGATTTAGTAATAATTGACCAAATTTTACCGAACAGAAGCGGTGGTACAAATCAACAAAGGCCACGATTCTTTATAGAAGTCTGCTACGGCCAGCGCTTGATACGTTTTGCCCAGACCCATTTCATCACAAATCATAAGACGGCCGTGATGTGCAATAGCAAAACTGTATTAAAATATAAAAAGTGACGTATATATATATATATATATATATAGCGTAACTTGTGAAATACTAACCAAACTCCTTCTTGCTGGAAAGGTAATAATTTCTCTGCTAATTTTGGTTCGATCGAGGATAAACATGATCGTTCGATATCTACAGGCGGCGTGCGGCATACTGTAATAACACTTTTTGGTATTATGCCAATGCTTATGTCTGGCTTCATACCACCGACGCGTTCTTGCAGCAGTTCATAATCTTGTAGTCCAAAACTCCAAAGACATTTTGAATTATCTGTAATAAGAGTAAAATATTTAAAAGAATTATATAGCAATTCAATAATTGCATACAAACCATATGATCTTGACGGTATAGTTTTAAAAACATCTATAAGTTTAGCATGGAAACATGAAGGCTGTGCCACAAAGCGTGTATTACTTATCATATATACCTTACAGCTAACTTTGACAACGAATATAGGTGCTAGGTTTTGTTGATTCGAATTGTTAGCAGAATGCGTTGCAGCATCATTTTGCTTGTGATTAAATGGGCTTCGGGGGTAAGGTTGTGCTGAATTGCGTGCTTTATTTACATACTTTCCAATGTTACTACGCTTTAAATCATTTAGAAAATTTATAGCTGCCGCGGTGGGCTTTGCGCTAGAATTTTGCGGTGGGTTTGCATTTGTAGCACTTTGTGTTTGTGTGTGATTTTGCTGCTTGAAGAAGCTATTTGTTGATATGTCACCTGTAGCTGTAAGTTGCTGTTGCACTGGAGATGTGATTTTTGTTGCAGTTGATGAGGCGTTAGCCAAACGTTGCTTTTTAGCTGCTAACTTCTCTAATGCAATACGTCGCTTTTCAGCAATTTCAGCTGCGGTGCAAACCGACATTTTAATCTAATAGTATATTTTTTTTCCGATGATCAAAACATAAATAAATATATTAAAGACTACGGAGAATATAAATAATATAAATATGATGAGCGCGAATAAGCTCAAAGAAATATTCAAATTACAGCTGTTTTAGCGAAACCTCTCTGTTTTGTGCAAACTGAATTAATAAGTTGTCTGGAGGAGATATTTTACAAAGACACTATATTGATAACCACAAAAGGTTCTCTAAAACGGCGTGTGTTCCGTGCAAACACAAAACTGAGTTATCGGTAAGATAACGACTTTATAACTAGTCTCTTTCTGTAATCTTAAATATTATGTAATCTCTCGAAAATTAATAGAAAACTGTGGCGTCTTCAGATAAAAGTGCTGTCCACTTTAAGTAAAAGTCAGAATTTGATACCAAAATGCAATTTTACCTTTGAATATATAGTTTATTTAACATGTAACTATCTCTTCTTATCCGACTTGTGCAGCAGGACTAATTCTCCGAATTACTAACCAGATTTTCTAATTGAATTTGTTTTTTTCGACATCAAATAACTTCTAATTGTGCAAATGTTATAACTTTAGTACAATATATTTATTGTATATTCAGTATGTATAAAATTTTTATATTTATATATTTTAAAAAATGCTGAAGTATTTTTAATTCATTTCAGTTGTATCACCCTTTCTAGCGTCAGCTGATTTTTGATGTGTATGCATAATCAAAATAAAAAGCAAAAAAACAAAAAAAAATAACAATATTAAGAATACGCATTTAAGACAATGAAGTAGTTGTGAAAATCTTTGAAATATTGCACTTAAACAAGAAACATACTAAATTCTTGTTTTTCTTGTGCTCGCCAACGCGGGAATTCAAAATGTGCAGCCTAGAGGGAGAGGAGAATCATTTGGCCTCAATGGCATTGGCAGTTTTCTATGACAATACAAAGGTGTCATTCTTCGACATAAGTTGGCAGGATGTTCTGATACCTATGGTTGCGGAATTTCTTACTCTTAAGGACCTATTTAACTTACGTTGCTGTTCAAAAACTGCCAAACGCTTTGCCGAAGCTGCATTTGAGCGACGCAAAGACATTAACTTGGCTGGTAATAATAGCCGTAATGTTGAATTAGCATTCGCCGTGCTCGGAAAATGCTGTCGACGTGTGGAGAACTTGCACTTAGCACGTTGCCATTGGTTAACAGATGAGTATTTGTTACCGCTATTAGCTGAAAACAGACGATTACGCGTTGTCAACTTGAATGAATGCGTAAATATTACGCCACTAGCTTTGCAGCCGATCATTATTGAATGCAAGGAGTTGCGCATTTTGAAACTCTCTAAATGCCAGTGGTTAACAACGGGTGCGGTAGATGCACTAACCTTACATCATAGTAATTTGGTGGAATTCGACATTTCATACTGTACAGCAATTGGAGAGCGTTGTTTAATAATATTTTTCAGGAAGTTAAACAAATTAAATGTATTGTCATTGGCCAATACACCCAGCGTGACTGATCAAGTGTTAATACAAATTGCTAACTACTGCCGCAGTTTGGAGCACATTAATTTGGTGGGATGCGCTGCCATTTCTGATTATGGCATACAGTAAGTTTTTCTTGTTTTAGTTGCATCGTTTGCGAAAAAAAAAATGTATATTGTTGTCCTTCCAGTAACTCTATCCTATAAGATTTTAGAGGCGCGTGCATAATATATTTCAATCATCTCTCTTTTTTGTTTTTTGTCTAATTACAGTGCAATCGCAACGTATTGCACTCAGCTACGTTCACTACTCGTACAACGTTGTCCGCGTGTAACGGAGCGTTCTTTAGCACCGCTACGCAAACGCGCGCACATCGATCGACAAAGTCAATTAGACATGTATCTAAACGATTTCTATCCCAGTGATTTTCTTATTTATTAAGCTTGCAAAACTAAAGCAATTACTGAGACAACTAAGACAGCGGAGTTTATTTCTACTCTGCTTTTCGTTTATTTGCAGCGCTCTAACTACAACATGTCAGCAACTCCAATCGCTGATGGTGCATCGATGTCCGAATGTGACTGAACGAGTATTGGCGCCTCTACGCGGTCGTCTCTTCATTGATCGACCACTACTGGGCTATAATATACCGGCATTGCAGGGGCATAATTGCCTTTACTTGCAGGTTTAATCTAAATGATAATTGTATTTCTAAATTAATAATATAAATGTGGGTGATTCTCTTTACAAAACAATTTAAGCTAGCTTTAATTGTATTAGTTTATTTACAATACCGATCAATATAATTAAATACTATTAGAAAAATAGTTGTGCTTATGTTTTAATTCACAATAGTTTCACGATACACTTACTATATGATTGGACTATTTGACTTAACGAATTGCGTACATTTTGCTTTTTTAAAGCTGAGAATTTAATATTGATATTTTGAACTGGAATATGCAAGTCGTGAATATGCATAAAAATTATTAAATGGTAAAAAAAAGCAATCAGTCACAATAGAAAGGCATATGCATATGTTTATAAAACGTATGCAAAACATATAATTTTTTTTTGTTAAAAAATGACTGCAAAAAAATTCAGCACGAATAGTCAAATAGGTGTCCAATCATTGCTCACTTCGTATAAAAATCACTCTCGCTTAATGTATAGTTTTTTTTTGTAAAAGAAATGCTCCTTATTGTGCTTCTATAAGCGGCGAGGTAACGGACGTTGAATTTTCATCACTATTAAGCTTGGAGGTCGACCTGTTGCTGCTAACAAATCGATCATCTGTACTCTCCACTTGCCACTGTGCATGTAATTGTTTCAGACGATTGTAAGCGCGCATTGATATATTCAAGCTGGGCATAACTTCTGATAAACCAGGCTCATTCATGAATGAAAGCCCACAAAGCCCGAAATACGTATGAAAAGGGTCAGTTGTGGATTGTGGCCATTTGGAAAAACCACCGACAATGTTGTCTTGTGTCTCCATAATGTAAGCACGATTTTCTTCATAATCGATTAGCTCAAAGGCGCCCAATATGCGTAGTGCTGCACCTATCCAAAATGAATAACATGTGTCTACCGCTTTATTTGGACGACCTTGGAAACCATTCACCTGTAATAAGTTTATATTATAACATAGCAGCTTACCATATATATTTATATATATACGTATACTTTACCTGTCTGAAAATCAACCAACGTTTTATGTTTTCTATCGTTGTTACATCCAATCGATGTAATTGGCCGCTCAGCTCAAGCGCAGCCAAAGCACAAAATGTGGTACCGCCGTGCGCTTCACCCTCTAAATACTGACTGAAGCCGTTATCATAACGCTGCAAATGGTGCAGAAATGTTAGAGTAAAATCGCTTTTATAACGGTCGATAATTTACTTACTATACAGCTGGTTATGAAGTCAAACATTTTCTCCTTATTTACATCACCCCAATAGTCCAGCATATGACATATGGCAGCTGCACAAAAAACGAAGCGCATGTCGTTTTCACTGCCGTCCACGCAAGCGCTGAAACTACCATCTGGACGCTGTACCGCGGCAACACCTGAAAAATAGTGTAATTATGATGTTTCATTGAAATTAGTTGTGCGTATGTGAACCTACCATCGACAATACTTTTTCGGTCTATGCGACTCAAATCGTCGCCAAGCGTAGCTAATATACCAATACCGGTATATGTCATCGCAAGGTGGCCCCATTGATAGCTTTTGGCATTGGCCTGCAACTGTTCGTCATCGGAAATGATATTCACGCAACGTGAACCCTGAAATCAAGAGTTTTGCAATTACGTTAATTTAAAACGATAAAAGCATTATATTTTTTGTATTTTCTATGTGTATTGTTGTTGGAAATTTTTACAACACAGTTAATTGACTGAAATACGATGTTTAACACATTTTTTTACTGCATTGATAAGAAGTTTGCTTTCAGTGAGTGGAAGACGAGAGCACATCTTTGATATATTTTTTGTACCGCTCCCATAAGTGTGTACATATGTGTGATTTTTGTAAAATATATTTTAAAAAAATAAAAAATATATAAAATGTACTTGCGTAATCTTAAAAAAAATTATGACTGTTGACCTGTTATTAAGAATTAAATCAAAGCAAACTTTAAAAATATAAGTTAAATAAATTAGAAGCAATTGTTGTTGTCGGAAAAATGCTGTGTAAACAAAGCACAGCGCACAAAACAAGCATTGAACTACACGTACCTATAGATAACATGCTGCTAGAAAATATATACATACATATTTATGCACATATGCAAACACGCTCACCTGCCATTCACTTTTGATTAATGACTATGCGCAATAATAATATACTATATGTGTATTTACCTGAAATCCGCTGCAACTAGGCTGTTCTTCTGGATTTGAAGTCACAAGCCCACCGTAAATCCATTCAATGACATCCTTTTGCATTTCTTTTGTAAGTAGAGGTAGCGAATTAAGTACATCCAATCCGCATACGGCAAAGAATGCAATGGTGCCTCTGGTGGAGTCATGTGAAGCTAGACGAGCTGGCAATAAATTCAAAAATCGAACGAAAAATTTTGCATGTTTTTGTAACAAAGCTGGTTCCTGCTTAACACCTTCTATATTCACCACATCGTGGGACATTTTTCTTTCACTTATTATTATTACTAAGTAATTATTGGAACGTGTTGCAATTAAATACTGGTTTAGTACTCGCCTTGCAGTAAATATTTCCACTGAAAGTCGTACTCTTACGTATGTTAGTTATGTGTTTATGACTAATACAAAATCAGCTTAACGTAAACTTATTATTCATTTATTGATAATCGCTTGTCGGCGAGCCATGAGTAGTAAACTTCCACAACCAACGAACGTTTGTAGTTCACGAATTCAACTTCACTTTCACTTCAACGACTCATGAATCAGAAAATAAAACAATTTTAATGTTTATATGCTTTTTATAGCTATCCTGTTTTATATTTTGTTTATAAATCTCTTGTTGACTAGTCGGTATAAAATGCACATAGAAAATCATCAATTCGTTTTACTCTGGAGAATGGAGCAAATGAGTGCTATGCAATGCAGAACAGCTGATTACTACAGAGTTGCATTGGGATAAAACAAAAAGTTATTAAATGAAATACATCGTAATAAGCAGATAAGTTGGGAATAAGTGCTCGTTAAGTAAATTAACTTATATCTTTATTAATTTGAAATAAATATTTTAATGAAATATATTTCGTAAAACATATGACAAATATCAAATACTTTTTACGCTGCTCGCTATTTTTATTATTGCTTTATTTTCGAACGCATCTAGACAACTGTCAGTAGTCAGCTGTTTGTTAACATTCCTCCAAATTGCATTCACGCGTTTGCCATTACATTTCGATTGATTTTATAACAATAAGTTCTGAAGAAGATGAGGCTAACACAATTTTTGGGCACTAAATTAAAAAACTTCTCAAATTTTCCGAAGGAATACATTGAGAGAAGCAAAAAGCAGGTCAGTTTTTGGAATGTCATAGATGTGGATATACAATATAATTTACAATTCATATACAAACTATGACTTTATCCCTTTCGCTATTTATAAATTTTGAATTAAAGGTCTATTGGAAAACACCATCTGGTGTGCCAAATTACATACAACGCACGGTTGAGCGTAAGCGTTTTCGATATACAACAAATCGGCCATGGACAGGTCAGTTTAGACAGCAAAATATGCCCGGTACTATACGCAAAAAGGTCTTTCTGAATCCAGTGGGTAGGTAACAATTTTCGTTTAGATCAAAGCAGTTAATACAATTAAACACTTAATTTCTTTTTGGATAGATGAATGGGGTTTCTTTCGTGGTGATCGTGTTGAAGTGCTTGTTGGTAAAGATAAAGGCAAACAAGGTATTGTTACACAGGTTATACCAGAACGCAATTGGGTGATGGTAGAAGGTCTGAACTGGCATTATCGTACAGTAGGTGCCGAAGAAGGTTTTCCAGGCATATTGATTAAATCTGAGGCACCTTTAGATGTGAGTTTAATCACATGGAATTTTATGTTAGTAATCATAAAGTTATATGTTATTTATTAGGTTACAAAAGATCTACGATTAGTTGATCCCTCGGACTTGCAAGGCACAGAATACGAATGGCGCTATACTGAAGAGGGTGAGAAGGTGCGCGTATCCGCGCGTACTGGCCGCCTTATACCCATACCAGAAACGAATAATCAAACACACGATTATAAGACGCCGGGCGCATATATCGAACGCGAAAAGGATACACCCGGTATATTAAACTCGACGTTTGAAATAACTGCAAACATTCTTATAATTTTGTTTTTATAGCCGCTGTTGTATCCGAAATAACTTTCCAACCTAAATTGTCCACATTTGAAATGGATATTATGGAAGAGATGGGCATTGAGGAAGAACGTATACCAAAGAAGACATACTGGTATTAAGTTTAACGACGTTTTTTTTAAACAATGCTTTAATTTGTTAATAAATATAAACTATAAATAAAATGTATAATGAAAAATTTTTCTTACAACTATTGCAACTAATTGCTTTGAGCAAGTGCTTACTACTATTTCCGAGCAAACGTATTCTACTATTTCCGAGCAGCGGTGAAAATCTCCTCGCGATGATCCCTCAATGTTTTAGCCAACTGACGCACCGTTTCCTCGGCTTTATCGAAATCATGACGCAAAGTTTTGTTGAACATTTCATACAACCACATCGAAGCTTTGGACGTATTACTCTCAAAGGAGGTGAATACTTTACTCGTATGCTGATATCTGTGGTGAAAATATATGAATTATAGATGATATTATTAAAATTGTTGTTACTTACCGTGCAAGATTGGCTATATCTGTAATCATGTAGGTGTTGCAATGCTTAACTGCCAGCAGTTGCCGATTGCTTATATGCTTGATTTCCACATGTGGCAGCGCCAATTGCGCACACTCCACCGATATCAAAGCTGCCTGCAGTGCCGTACGACATTCCAAAGCAAGTTGAATTTTGTGTTTCGGATCACTTCAATGCAAAAGTAGCAATTAGATTCAAAACTCATACTTACATAAGAAAACTTACATCGCTTTAGCCAACTGTTGCCACTGCTTTAAAGCTTGTGTGGCTGAAGTTGCGCTGGTGCGCAACAGAGTGCCGCATATACGCCATTGCTCCAAAGCGCTGCCTAATTTATCGCGCACATCACGCGCCGTCTCCAATTGCGCGTCAAGACTCTCCTCCAACCGCGTCATGTACGTACCGCCACTGATAAAGGCTAAAAGGCGCATCAATTCATTGTTATTGTTGTACCATAGTTTTTTTTAGTGCCTACCTATAATGCCGTCGTGATGCACATATAGCTCATTTAATTCGTTGTAGCTTTCCGTTAAGGTTTTCAGTCGCACCTTAGTGTGTTCCAGTATTTCCGTATAATAACGGATTGAAGTTAGATAAAGCGCAGATTCACTGAGATTCGCAAAGAAATCCTCATGTGTGGAAGCCTTATTTACATCGCCAACAACACCCAAATTTATGGCAAGCTGACAAAATATATACTAGATAGTTAATTTTTGTAGTGTTTATATTACTATTTAACTTTTTTCTCTCTTAAATTTCGATATAGCATTCAATATTTGTTTCAAGTCAAGCAAGTCATTCCATTTGTCTGGTTAGTCAAGCATGTAAATATTTTTCTATACAAAAACACTTTTACGTATAGTATTTGGTAATCCTCCCCCTACTACCGCTAAAATAAACTTAACTTGCACCTATAATTTCGTCAAGTGTCCAAGTACGTTAATTACTGTAGGCATTTAGTTGCAATAAATAAGTATGACAGTGCGTATGAGCAACGAAATACAAATCCTACAATACTGTGCAATATATAACCACCAGCAATCATACACTTCTAAATCGTTGCGTTTCGAGCATGGAAATCATTATTCTACAAGTATATAGATAAGAAGTCTAAGGCATATTTTTGAACTTTGACAACTTTTTAAGTGAGCATAACCTAAAAAAAAATTAAATGAATGAAAAATTATCAATACATTAGTGGAGTTATCAGGTTAATGGCGGCATTTTCAGTGCCACATTGTTCGGAAAGTAACAAAAAAAATTTCGAAATGGTCAAAATAAAATTATTTGAGTGTGATTTAAGGGGCACATCTAGTTTGAAATTACAAAAAAAATCGTTTTTTTATATTTCGATAGATTATACCTTTACAAATAACACACTAAAAATTTAAATTGATATCTCAAATGATTTTTGTGTTACAGCATGCGCCTTACAACATTTTATATTTAAACGGCTTTTTCTCCAAACTACATTTTTGAAAATTTGTTTGAGTGAATACTCACAGAAAAATGATCTGATCTGTATAGATTTCCATACAATGACCTACCAGTTTTTTGATCTGATCAAAAATCGAATTTTGGCAGGCTAAAAATAGCTAAAATTTTGGGTAAAATTCAACTTTTTTTAAACGCCGCCATTTTTCCATTTTAAAAATTTTTTAGACTGTAGCTCATTGCAAGAACAATATATTCTAAATTATTAGAGAATTCTTTTTTTAGCTTACATCTTCTTTTTTTAGCTTACATAACTTTGCGCCGGAGATCGCATGGAACTCGAAAAATAATGGTTTATTTATTATATTCGAAATTCACTCTATAGTCAGCCCTTTTGAAATCCAAAGAAGCACGTTTAAATCAAGTTTTAACGCCAAATATGTTGTAAAAATTCTTTTTCGCCAATGCTGAGTTTTTTACAACACTGTACGTCCGGTTCTTGGTTATTTACCCAAAACTATGAAAATTTTAATAATTTGTTCCATCGTTACGACAACAACAACAGCAAAAACATAAAGCGATTTTCGAGAAATGACCTAATATTACATTTCATGCCGCAGTAATTCAAAACAAACAAAGTTAACAACAACTAATGCCTTCAATTAATCCAATTACTAGAGGAAGGAAGTATGAACGCGCTCCAAATGAGCCGTCACTTTGCACGTGTACACAAGCAAACGCCACAGGGTGTTAAACTACGGGGTGGTGGCAAGCTCATTTAGCAACACGTGAACATACTTACAAATGTATTGATGTAATAGTGTCTGTATATATACAATATATACACGTACACGCATATTCAACTATATAGGAATAACAAAGGTGGGGTACTTAAAACGAAACCGAAAAATAAACATATGAGCATTTAGGGGTTTGTATAACTTGGCGCTCGAAGAAAAAATATTTTTTAGTTTAAATACTGCCCTGGCAAAGAAATTGGTAAAAATGTCACTTATAGCGATCTGCAAGACTTTAGCCTGGTATACTCTATATCTAACACCTAAATTGCGAGCTTGCCGTCAAACATTCTCTGCAAGTTCAAGTACTTGATCGGTCACGAAGCTGCTCTATCATTTTCGCCTAAAAGTAATTATATATTTCTTTGCGGTTCTGGAAGTTTTATAACGCCTGCGCGTGTATTGGATACAGACAACCCTTGGGTGATGTTTCCAAGCACTATTTACATTGTGACCAGAAAGTTTCCGGAAATTGTAAACAAAACGAAAAATTTTTAATCTTCATCAATATTTATGTTGTCGCCTTTAAAATATGCTCCTTCTAAAGCGACACACATATGCCACCTCTTTTTCCAATCACCTTTTAGGCGCTGTCCGGTATCACCTTCAGTTCCCTCTGCGAATTTTCTTTAACGGCCTCAATCGAGTCGAAATGGGTTCCACGGAGTGGTAACTTGAGTTTTGGAAACAAAAAAAGTCGCCGAGAGCCAAATCCGGTGAAAACGGTGGTTGATCGATGGTATTAAACGAGTTTTTGACCTTAAAATCGTTCACAACTAAAGCTCGGTGCATCTTTTTGCAAAAAATTCAGCTCTTTTGGAACAAGCTGAGCATTGAGGCGTCTCATGCCCAAATTATCGATCCAAATCAAATGTGCTGCTTCATGGCCGATGTCTAGCTTACGTGCTATCTCTCTAACACTCGCATGATGATTTTCGAGCACGATTATCGTCAGTGGTAGACGTCGAAGGACGCGACCGAAACAAGGCATGTCTTCGACGGTTTCTCGACCATCTTGAAAAGCTTTGTACCAGTCGTAGACTTGCGTTTCGATAGCATAGATTCACCATAAGCCTTTTTTAAGATTCGAAAAGATTCCGCACAAGAAATTCGGTTCGAAAGACAATATTTGATGCAAATGCTTTGTTCAATATTGTTTTTCATTGTAAAAATCGCAAAACACTACTGAGGTCGACTGATTTCAACAGCTGTTGCAAACAAACTGGTTAACAGATCGCGCTCATTTTTGCCAAAGTAATTGAGGACAGTGCTACCAACTTAACAAAAAAAAAGTGCTGAAAAATATTCGACGCGGTCAGTTTAAATAAAAATTTCCGGAAACTTTCTGATCACAATGTATAAGCTTATTGTTGTGGTACGAATGTAATAACGTGGATCTCCGTGGAGTGAACGAAATTCGTATTTTAATTGTAGATTCATAAATGTGCCAATTCCTTTCCAGACGCAATGTTACATACTTCCTTAAAATCTTTGACCAACGGTGATTTCTGATTTCTGTCTGAACGAATGTATAACATTATTCTTATACTCTCTCTTCATTCCTTCCGACGAAAGAAGTTTAAACTCCATATTGACTAAGTAACCATAGAAAAGACTTAAGCTTCAATATTGTCCAAAGCACTTTTCCGAAAAGCAGTTGCCATCCTGACTATGGGTCGAAAATAACAATTTGCTTAAAAACTTAAAATTCTTAAATCGTCAAATTCATACTAAAACCCTACCGAAATACCTCAGTACTACTGTACCCCCTCTGAATATGTAAGTGCGTGTTTTAAGTGACATTTTGGTATTTGTGTTTTCAACTCACATTAGCCAAATCTTGGGTGGGTGTATTGGCCACTATGCTGTTATTAGCCTGTCGTGCCGCACCGCCTACGCCATTTGTAGTGGCGCCATTTCCATGCAGTAATGTGCCTCTGTTTACCTTTGACATTGCTGTTATGGCTGCAGTAACGCTTAGCGGCTGTAGGGGCGGTTGATGTATGGGTGGCGGTGTTGTTGCATCGATCTCATTCAGGGTCAATATTTCACTATTCATTTGCTGTTGTTGTTGTTGGTGTTGTCGTGGTTGCTGCTGCTGCTGTTGCAACACTCCGTTATTTTGTGGATTCAAGGCCATATCTAAGGTGTCAACACCGAGCAATGAATCGCGTTGCGACTGCAAGTGCTCCACCCATGCTTCGGCGGTGGCCATACGCGGCCCCGGACAAGTGGCCTCCAATTTGCTGATGCGTTCATCCAAACCCACAAATTCCTCGATGACGGCAGTGGGCTCCTATATGAGTTATAGGAAGAGGATTGATATGTAAAAAAAATGTTGGTTTGCCTCGCATTCGGTATTTACCATGTCACCCTGCTGCCAACGCTCCAAGCTTTGTATGGGCTCTTCAATTACACTATTCGTGTCCATCGATGAACCACATCCCATCATTTGTGCGGCGATATTATGGAAAAATGCATATTTGCACTTAAGGCTGGTTGCAAGTGAACATTAAATGTTTGAAAATACGATTTTTTTAAATAAATTTTTTTTTAGTTTTTATTTAAATAAAGTCTTTAAATTAATTGCAGCACATAAATTTGTATATACATATGTATATATATGTTCGCATGCACTTTGTTCTATTTTTTATATTCTTTATCTAATTTTCCATCTTTGCAATTAGTGCATTTTACGGTTTTCTACACGCTATTCCGCCGTTGTTCAATTCACTAGTCACTCGTTACAACGTCGATTTCTGAATGAAATTCATTTGCATGCTTGGTTTCTTGTTCACCCATCAAATGGTTGTATAGTTCGTTGAGCCTTTGTCCAATCCGTCAATGTTATTTTTTTTTACTTACCTACAAGTACAAAAACAAGAAAACAAATGTATGTGCACTTGGCTGACATACAGATATGAAAACAAATACAAACTATTTATCCTGGTTGAAAATTTTCCATATACCGTTGCAAGCATCCCAGCAGGAAATTTACTTTGTAATAACTGTTGCCAATTTTTCGAAAATTTTGAAGTTACTTGTTGTCGTTCACTAAGTAAATTTCGTTTGTTGACAACAGCTAAACTCATTGAACTTTTTCGCAGCCAACTTTACACTTAACCGCTTTACAGTTATATATTTGAACCACTGATATAGTATGGCTTGTTTGTGTAAAAATTGCATAAATTTTTTGGAGTATATCCTATCGAAGATGGTAGATCGAAAACAGCATTTTCGGCATATTTTACTGTTTTACTATCAAAATGGTGAAAATGTAGTTCAAGCAAGGCGAAAAATATGTGCTGTGCACGGAGAAGTTGTGTTGACCGAACGCCAATGCCAAAATTGGTTTAATTCGTTCCGGAAACGCCCTAGAAGGACTCTTGAAGCCAATGTAGATAAAATAAAGTCGTTCGTCGATGCAAATCGTCGAATAGCAACTCGAAAGATTGTTGAAAGATTAAATTTGTCTAAGGCGACCGTTCAAAAGCACATGAAACGTCTAGGATTAATTTCGAAACTTGACATATGGGTTCCTCATGTCCTTACAGAACGAAATTTGCTTCGTCGCATTAACGACTGTCATTTGCTTATCAAACGTCAAAGAAGTGATCCATTTTTGAGGCGCATTGTTATTGGCGATGAAAAGTGGGTTGTTTACAAGAATTTAAAAGATCATGGTGTAAAAAGGATGAACCAGCTCTAACCACTTCGAAGGTCGATAGCCACGAAAAAAAAGGTTTGTTGTCTGTTTGGTCGGATTTCAAAGAGACCGGTTATTTTGAGCTTTTGTCCGATAATACCACAATTAATTCTGAAGTGTATGTAAGAGTGATGTACTCAAACAAAAGAGGACAGAATTGTCCATAACAAAGGTCTAGTGGATAATGCGAGACCTGCGGCAGCTTGAATATGATGTGTTACCACTCTCACCCTATTCTCCAGACTTGGCATCTTCGGACTATTACTTGCTCCGGTCTCTGCAAAAGATTCAAAAGATGGCAAAAAATATTGGTTCAAAATGAAGAATATATAATTTCATAAAATGTTTTACACAATAAAAAATCGTGTTTAAATTGCACTAAAAAAATGAAACTACTTAATGAATGACCCAGTATTTTTGGTTTTATATCCATTTTTAGTCATAAATTCGAACTTTTTACCTACTTATATATTCTGAAAATTCAATTCCTAGGTTAGGCACATACATACTTGCACTTTCTGTTTTTTTCTATAGTTAAAAATTTTCACCTAGAAGACACGACGTCTACGGTTAATCTCGAAGGAAAGCTTCATGGATGTTTCTAAGAACTTTTAGCAAGATTAATGTTGGGATATGGAAATTTCGGACTGATTTTCCGTAGAAGGACATCTGTAATGGAATAATCTTAATTAAACCAACATCTTTCCTGGAGCTTTGTTACAAATTTTTTAAAAGTTTTTGGGACCTGTTCAGTAATATTCAAAAAATGATCAAGCTCAGGCCAATATCTTCTAACTTTTTCTTGCAATGGATACTGATGGCGACAGAGAGCGACAACACTTATAGGGATACTACATTTTATTTTGAGTAATTCTATGATAATTCTACGTTTCTAATTTTATTTATTTTTGTATGAATAAATACATATATGTATGTATCCGACCTAAAAATATTATTAAAAATTGTACTTTTGTGTAATTGATCGAAACAGCGACAAACATAGAAGAAGCAGGAAAAACCAAATTTCCTACAGGGTATTATTAAGATGACTGCTCATTTGCCAGTAGTACTATGAGTACCGTAGAAGTAACATTCCAAGGAAAAGTAAAACTTTTTAAAGAATATATCTGATCTTTTACCGTTACATATCTTAAAATAGACTAAAAAGAGCTTTTAATAATGTTATGTATTTAAGCTGGATTTTATATAAGCACTTGATTTTGATCGGTCAGTTTGTATGGCAGCTATATGCTATAGTGGTTCGATCTGAACTATTTGTTCGGCGATTGTACCGTTGCTTCAGGCAATAATCTATGCTAAATTTTTTCCGACTTTTGCTTGGTGTTGCAAACTTCGTACCTGTTCATGATATAAAAATGAAAAAAATGCTCATTTAACACTGAAATGCACCTTCCATGGCATTAGTTTAACAGTCGCCACACTTAGAAGTTCAAGTGTGTTCATTCATTTTTGTGACGAGTCCTTTTAAAAGTTGTGAACATGATTCAATACTAAGTGCAATTTTATTATTGGCAATTACTTGCTCTTATAAGTATATAGTATTTGCATACATACTGTCACCTAGAAAATTGTGAATTTGTTGGTGCAATTCGATTTAAAAAAAAACGATTTTTTTCATATTTTTAAAGATTAACGATTTAAGAATATGTCTGCGAGAGGATTTTTAAAAATTTCAATTATTTTCGGAGATATAGACATTTTACTTACCCGGCCTCCAAACCGGTTCGGCTGGGTCTAATCGAAACTTTAAATGCGTTTTTCTCAGAGCAAACTTTTTCTATACGATACCCACGATTTTTCGAGTTCTACTGGACCGACTTTTAATTTTCAAAGAATCTTCTTTACAGACCTCTCTCGAGTAAGAACTAGCCTCAACTACAAATTAAAATGTTTACTATTTTTTAAAAATACGAGAAAATATATCCTTTCAGATAACTGCGACTTCATCAGCGGCCAGTTTCTTAAATTTTTAAATTTTTTTTAAATTTTTTCTGTACTCTTGAAACATTAATAGAAAACTGATAAAAAAATCGATAGTAAAAATATTGATTGCCTTTTTTTTACGACACAATTACCTACAATTCATCTCTCTAGACTAGAATACCCCCATAAGCTATGGTTACCATTTTAGATGAATTCGGCGAAATGACAGGTTTTTGGGTTTGAAAACTCTCTCGAAGGGCGAATGTATAATTTGTGACATTAAGTTCCAAACATTGCTTACGGATGCATTCGAGTATGAAAAAAAAATATTATAATACTAAGATTGCAAAAAATAGAACTCAGTATAAAGTATTATTTTATATAGAGTAATCAATTACCTCTGCGTTACTGATCTTACCGATTTGGAAATCATTAAATCTGTATGGAATATCATTATTTGAAGAAATTTTTCAATTTGAATTGAATATGAATTCAAAAATTTCTTCAAATAATGATATTCCATACAGATTTAATAATTTCCTAATCGGTAAAGGATCGATTTACAATAACTTCGTAACAACAATTTAAATTATATATATCAATTAAGCGAAGAACTAAATATTTGATCCCAAATATAGGATAATAATAATATTTATATAATATAATAGTTATGTGGTCGTAATTTTCTACAAAAAACACACCGGTATGTACATAGATATGTCAAGCAGTGTATATATAATATATGTATATTAGGGTGAGAAAAAAACTAACCTGTCGATTTTTTTTGTGAGTTAAAATGTAGCTATATACGAAAAATATCCCTACAAAAAAACATGTTTAGCTTAATTTTTTGTCGATGAGTATTCAACGTTTCTTATATAGTAGTAAATATAAAAGATCTCATATTAATATTTACATAATTCGAATTTTAAAATTAAAAAAAAAAAAATTTCCCTACGGTAGATTTTTTATGAAATTTTATGCCTTACAAGCAACCGCATAGTAAAAAATTGTATCAAAAATGGCTCAAAATTTATGGTATTTTTAAAGAAAACCAATTTTTTTACGAGTTATGTATTTGTATGAGACATTTTGAATTCTGACCGACATCTTTTAAAACTAAACTAAAAATCCTGCTTGCAATGATATTTTTTAACTGTACGAGAATATAGAGGTACATTTAAACCCATAAATTCAAAATTAGTTATTTTTTTTGGTTCACCCTAATGTATTGTATATGCATATCAATATTTCTTAAACTTCACATTCTGCTTATCAGAGCTCGTGAAAAACTCATCGCCGGCAATTAATCAAATGCCCCAGCTAATTTGACGTTGTTGGTGCCTTCGGCTTAGCATGTCCTTGACTTATCCTTTCACTAGCAATTTTTCTTACAACGCTTGTTTTGTGATACAAATGTATTTGTTTTGATGACGAATCACTATATGATGTTTTTATGGGTATTTACATTAGCTAATTGCATTAAGTCACTAAAAACATACAATTTAACTTTTGGTGACTTGACAAACCCTTACGCTTAATAATAATACAATACAAAATTGGCTCCCAAGTGTCAATAAGTGATTTGTGTTATACAAGAGTGTTTATAGAAACGTATTTTTCTTAACAAAAATAATTTCGGTCGACATATTATCCGCCATGTTTTTGTTATTGCGTGGTTTAAATGCGCGACGGACCTTCAAAAGATTATGTTAACATATTTAGGCCACAGTTGAGTCGGAATTTATAGAAAAATGGCTATTTAAAGTATTAAACATATTAATTTATTTAAAAAACATATTTATTTAAAATTTTTAACATCGAAATATAAAATAAAAAGGAAGAAAAAAATGTCTCCTGCAAAGTGAGTTCATATATTTCTTCAATAACTCATGTCCACCCACCTACCTAGTAATGCAAATAAGTGCATATGTCTCGCATTATTTACGCACACCTGTTGTGATTTTTTGTTAATTCATAATTTAATGTCTGTAAACGTGCAGTTGCATTCGTCAGCAGCAAATATTTTTTTTTATGAATTAAATGTCATGCATACGCCATGTAGGCCCATATGAATAAATAATAATAGTCTAACATGCAAGCCAAATGAG